AAAAGAAAAATTAGTAAATAAGTAAAATTGAACAATTCAAATAAAACTAAGATATGATGATAGACAGAATTTTAAAAAACAAAAATTACATTGAAACCCACATATAAAAAAGACTTTCTTGGCTGCTCAAAGGAAGTTCATTTCAGAATTGTTCAGTTTGCATGTTGCTGGTGGTGATGACTTCAGAGCTTCGGCTGGTGGAGCCAAGAAGGGCCAGAGAGGTGCCAAGTTCTTGACTGTAGAATCTAACCACAGAAAACAACTTGATGATCTTATGAAGAAGTTGAGAATGGCTACACCACACTTCATTAGATATGCATTCTTCCAAATGGACAGAAGAGAAGACACTACTTCATCGACTCGACTGTCTTGAAGCAATTGAGATGCAATAGTGTCTTAGAAGGTATTAGAATTACACGTCTTGGGTATCCAAACAGAATGAACTGCAACGAATTCTTGAAGAAATTCAATTTCTTGGAACGAACATTAACAAGAAGTCTTCAGACGCCATGACAGTCGTCAAAGATTTCATGAAACTATTTTGTGAGAAGTAAAAGAAGGATGGCAAGCCAAGAGTGAACACTGAAGAATTCAAATTTGGAAAGATCAAGATTTTTTCCAAGGTTGGTGTTCTTGATGAAATTGAAGAAATTAGAGAGAACAGAGTCACTGAAATTGTTGGTGGTCTTCATATGTGTGCAAAAGCCATCTCACAAAGAAAACTCATTGAACAGAAACTCAATGAACAGATTGCTATTACTGTCATTTAAGACACCATCCACACTTGGTACCAATTCAGAAATTGGGTCTGGTTCAGATTGTTACAAAAGGTCCGACCAACACTTAAGAGAAGAAGAGTTGATGAGTGTTAATTCGCAGCTAAGGACAAAAAATTGAAACTTTTAAGAAGAAGATTGCTGAAGAAATTGCAAAGAGAGAAGCCGCTGAAAAGGCACTTGCTGAGATGAAAATCAAGAACGTCGACTTGGAAGCTTTGGTCCAGAAGCTCAAAGACGAAATTGAAGAACTTAAAGAAGACATTGAGTCGAAGAAGATAGCTTTTGATGAGGCGGATATAAAATCACAAGAAGACCAAGAACACATTGAGGAACTTCAAGGTGATATTAAGAAAGGAAAGGAAGACTTGAGCAAGTTAACCACTGAGTACAAGAAATTTGAAGCTGATAATCAAAGACTTCAAGACGAAATATTGAACATAAAGCGACTGTTGCTTAGAGGGATAGTGTCATCACTGAGTTGAACAAAAACATTGAAGATATGGAAAGCGAAATTTCTGACTCGAAAAAGAAGCTTGAAGCCGAAGAAGACAATTCAAAGGATCTTGAGACACAATTGCACGAGAAGGAAGACGACATTGCTGATTTGGAGAAGGAGGTTGCTGTGCTGAAAGATCAGAACACTCAACTTGATGCTGCTAAGAATGATATGAAGAAGCAATCAGTTGAAGACGCTTTGAAGATTGAGATTATGAATCACAGATTAAGGCACTTGAAGCACAAAAGAAGATGGCATTGGAAGACAAAGCGGAGGCTGAGAAGACTGCTGCGGACCAATCTAATAGAAGAAAGAAGATGGAAGACCAAGTCAAAGCACTCAATGCACAAGTCTCATCACTTAAAGTCCAAGTCAGTGCACCGGCTTCTGTTGCTCAAAAATAAAGAACATATTAAATGCAAGAATTGCTGAAATCCAAGCCCAACTTGATGAAGAAAGACAGAAAGCTGAAAGTGCAGATGCTGTTCGAAAGGCTGATTCACAGAAGGAACTTGAGAAGGAGAGAGCAATGAAACAAAAACCCGACAAAGAAACTCAAAAACTTAGAGTTAAAGTCACCGATTCAGAAGCTAAATTGGCGGACGCTGGTGCTACTGGAGCTTCTATTGCTAAGTTGAAAGCGAAATACGAAACAGAATTGGAAGTAATCGAAACAGAAAAGGAAGAAGCACAAAACGCGGCTGCTAAAGCTAAGAAACAAGCTAAACAGTATACCAGAAAGGTTGAAGAGGCTGAGAGAAAGCTTGTAGAATTCGAACAGAAGGAGTCAACTTTCAACACCCAAATTGGTAAGACACAAGCCGATTTGAAAAAACACGACAACCAGTCAGAGACGGTCAATTAAGAATTGTTGAGTTGGAAGACAGGTCATAAAGGCCGGTGAAGATCTGAACAACAAACAACTTGAAGTTGATCGGGTAAGTGCAATTACTTTTGAAGACTAAGAACAGGTTGATTCAAGTAAAACACAAAAAGACAAGGATAAATAATTATTACATCGTTTTTTAGTTTTTTTAAATTAAAATCTAGTTTAAATACAAGAGTCTAGTTGTCAAAAAATATAATATTTTTATTATTTTTTATAGTTTAATTTCAACTAGATGCCTTGAGTCTTTGAAAGATGCCTTTGCAAACAATTTTCATTGAGTGATGGATATTTCCAATGACAAATAAAATTGGTGATGTTCTATTTTTAATAAGGAATTAGAGTTTCGATACAAAATCAATACAAATTGATTTAATCATATTAACTTTATCTGTAGAACGCAAAAATACATTTAAAAGTAGCGATTCATTTCACAACATCACTGATGTTTTTATTTATTTAAAATAGTCAATTTACTATATACTGTCAATTGTTATATTTTAATTATGTCTATTGATCTATTCTTAGTTTTTTGCTTTAAAAAAATAATTTGTGTTACCAAACTATTAAATTATAATTAATTATATCAACATTTGTGCTATTTATTTTTAGATGAAAATATCAACTTTAATATGATTTTAATAGTTTTTACTATAGTTTGTAGTTTGAAAAAAACCCATAATAAATAAAAATACCAAACTACTTTCCAATTGACATACTTCAAAAAGATACAACGGGACACAAAGAGTAGATATGCCGCAACTGTCGAAACTTGTTGAACCCGGCGAGTTGCGGCGTCGTGAATCCATCTCTGGAAGATACTAGACACAAAGAGGAGATGCCTGAAAAAAAAACATCAAGATATCCTAATCGAGTGTTTGTTCCAGTGTTAGGTTTGAAGGATGAAACCCGTTTTCTTTACGTCTGTCCGGCCCTTCAAAAAAGGACAGATTTTGTTAAAACTGTGTACATTAATTCGAGTTGTGGTGACGTGGCATATTACAAATATGACACTTATGGAGTTAACGTGTTACAAAGTTTAAATTAAAATAAAAAAATGACAAAAAATCAGTTAAGTTGGAAGACAACAACACTTTTTGGTGTGAAATTGCGATTATCAGTCAACTCGTTTTGTTTGGCGGTGAAAGTTTTTGGGTTGCTATCACTACCATCAATGCCATTTTTGTACACACCTATATCATAACCAAATCCAAAGAGACTTGAACTGTTTTGAGAATAAAGCAAAAATTCACTATCTGTGTATTTTCCACTTTTACCAAACTTTTTTGGATTTAAAGTGCCGTTTCTCACAAGTGAAAAGATGTAAGAACTACCACTGTTGATATATTTGCCAACAGCATTGATATTTCCAGTGCACACGCCACCAAACTTGTTGTGATTTGTGTCTTCTATTAAAAAACACAAGTTGCTTTTGTTCATGACTTTTGCATCAAACACTGAATTGTTTTGTGACCAACTGTCTTTGTCTGATTTAAACACAACACTTCCAATCTTCTTTCCTGTCAACTTTTCAAGGCAGGCTTTTTCTTCTTCATCAACATGTTGTTTCTTTGCATCGATGTATTTTTCCGATTTTACTATTTGATCAATTTTATTGTTTTTTGCTTGTTTGATTTTGTTGATTTCATCTTCAAGTGGTTTTATATCCATTTGGCACTTTTCTTCATAAAGTGCTATTTTGACATTAAATATCTCATACAACTTGTCGTTATCATTCTGTGTTGAATATAGAGCCATCTCTTCTTTGATTTTGTTTGATGCGTTATCCAAATCAGTGACGATCGTGTTAAGTGAAGTTGTGATGTTCTTCTTTCTCTCAAATACTTCATCAAGTCTGTCGAAGTACCCTTCTGCATTTTCGATGCGTTGATCAATGTCAAGTGACTTGTCGTCAACAAAGTTGTATTCCGTTTTATATTTGTTGAAATCTGACACCGCCTTTGCTGCATTTGTGCAAAGTGCTGAGAGTGCTGTTAACTCGTTTTCCATTGTATGTTAATAGAGTTTTTTGTTTTTATATTTAATTTTATATAAATCTCATTCAAAAACATTATTACCTCATACATAATGTTTTTTTCAATTAAAAACCAAAAAAGAAATTATTCAAACTTACATAAAATGATTTTAATTTCAAGCATGGTCTACAAGAGGCAGAATAATTACTTGACAAAGAATAAATTGATTGACAGAAAAATGATTGGCCAAAATGCCCAAATAATGATTTTTGGTCAGCTGTTTTAGGTTTATTTTTTCGGGAATTACCACTTATTCTATTTTTATAATTAGAAATTACTTGACAAAGACTAAAAACAGCGTTTTATTTTTCCAAAAAAAAGAAACTGAACTCGATTAAGAAACGTATTTTCAAACAATTCAGTTCTGGATCTCCTCCAATTCGCCAATTGTGAGTTTGAAAGGCTCGAGACTCTAGTGAAGCGCGTCAATGGTATTGCCGCAGACTTGGTGATCTCATGGTATAATACATGGAAGTTGTCACAAATACTGGCAATTTTAATTTTTAGAATGGAATGTGTTACCCCGAGTTCCCAATAACTCGATTTGCTATAACAATTCATTGATATGACTGACAAACACCGAAGTTTCAATGGGAG